ATCCCCGCCATTTCACCAGATATTGGGTCTGACCCTGGTGACGATGTCGCCTCACTAGACGTTCCACGTAATACTGGACGTCACCGTTCTCATCGAGAAAAGTCGGTGGCGGGCGGTGACGACCGGGTCGACCGCCATCCGGTGACTCGCGATGATCTTCGAGCCCTTGAGGATGAGATTCTTCGTGATCGGAGCTCCGTTGAGCGTCATGCTGAAGTAGCATATCGCTGTGCGGACGCTATGATGTGGAGCGCGTCGTGGGCCGGCTGCATCGCCTTTAGGATAACCGCGCTCTGTCTGAGCGACTCCTAGCCGTGGAGTAGACGAATGTGTGGCTGCAGGTAGCGGTGGGGCGCTTGGCTCCTTGGGGATGGATGTTGTTGCACTCCGTGCTCAGAAGCAGTTGTTAGTTCAGTTTCTGGGTTGCCGAGGGCCCGGGGGATCCGCTCTGGCGTCAACGCTTTCGTGTTCACATGCGCCGGATCCCGATCCGGCTTGAGCAAACCCACGTAAAACACCGAGTGGGTGCGCATCCGTTTGGGGAGGTTTAGCGTATACGCTAGCGCCCGCTTGGCCACAACCTTAAACGGTCCAAAAAACCGTGGACGAAGCTTCGTCTGGTAAATAGCAGAGGTTGCATGTGTAAGAAGGTTTTTGGAGTTTAATAAGACCCGATCTTCGACCTTAACGCTTCCCACTTTGCCTCTCCCTTTTTCATCTGCATATTCTTTCTGCAGTTCTCGGCTTCCAGCCATCGCATCGCGAACGTGTTGTAGGACACTCAGTCTGGTCCACAAGAAGTCATCGACTTTTTTACGGATGGTGAGGGGGCTGACATCAGCTAGCCGTTTGGCTATTCCTCCCCCATCAAGCTCTGAGTCATAAAATGGCGGCGTCATCAGGACGCGAGGGTGAATCAGCCCGTTCACGAATAACGGCGTGTAGCCGGTTGTCGAATGCACTGCATTGTTCAGTGCAAACTCTATGAGTGGCAACATGGCGCTTCAGCGCCTCGGTGTCTCAGCGCAGACGCTGCGAAGAACGTCTTCGATAACGCGATTCATCGTCTCGGTTTGACCACCTATCTGCGGATAATCCGCTGTCGATCGATATATCTAAGATAGTCGACCAAAATTTTCCAGTGAATTGGGGAAATCTATCAAAGACGGTCGACTCTGGGAGTCCGTGTTGTCGAAAAACACGATCTATAAACAGCGTTGCTGTACCGACTCCGTCGATGTTGTCTGGCACCGCCGCCAAATGAGCCATCTTGCTCACCCGGTCGACGAATACAACGACACCCGTGTTGACTGGCGAACTTTTCGGCAGGCCAAACAAAAACTCCAAACTCATGGACTGCCAGCACCCAGTGGGTACCGGTAAGCTGGCCAGCGGCGCAGCCGCATTTGGAGAGGGTTTTCCCCGTTGAAACGACTCACACATAGGCTCATAGGTGCTAGTCCATTTGTACAACTTGGACCACCAATAATGGTGACTCACAGAGTTGTACGTTTTATCATGACCGAGATGACCACCAAGTGGCGTGTCGTGAGCCTGATAGAGGATGCGATAATTCAAATCTTCATCATGAGAAACCACGACTCGTGGTCTATCCGTTGAATCGGTGCTATAGTATACATATAGCAACCCGTTAATCAACGAATATCGGTGCAATCGTGCACGCAGTCTTTGTGACAACTTCTTGTCCGAGTCTCCAATCTCCTTGCTGCCGAGAGCCCGTAGCAGCGCTACACACA